AATCTAATAAAAATAACAAAGTTCTTGCTTGTGATGAAACATTACTTGCGAATACACTATAATTTCGATTAAACTTCAGTTAATGCTCCTTCACTTAAAATAAGCCATCGATTTTCTTTTATTTGGTCTATTGTCTTGAGTTTTGCTTGTACAGGCTGTATCAATAAGTTCTGTCGAGTTGATTTTGATTTTTCTTTGTCCAGGCCGTATCAATAAGTCCTGTTGAATTGTTTTCCATTGAATTGTTTTGTTAAATAGACCATACCAATAAGTCCTATTGTGTTATACTAATTAAATTGATTTTTGGATTATTCTTTTTTTATTATACTATTGTTTTCGTCCCCCTTACCTTTTTAACGTCGATTTACGTACAAGTCACCATGGGAAGCCTTTAGAACACCCAAAGAAATCCTTTACTCATAAATAATTCAGTCTAGCTCTTATCCTAGTTGCGTAAAAACTCCTCTTTGACCGATTAAAATAGTAGTATGCAACAATACATTAATCTTAATTAAACTACTGACAAAATGAGTAATTCAGAATTTACTTACTTCAATACTTTCGAAGAAAATGGTGAAGAGGATATTTTTGACATCGATCAAGTTTCCTTTGCAAGTGCCCGAGCCTTGCTAAATGATGATGACGATGACGTAGACTGGACTGAGATTGAAGTTGAAGATTCTGATCTTTATGAATCTTTTCTGACAATGCATGATGTAGAAGATACAATAATCGAAAGGACCCCCACGCAAAATCAGAAACTAACGCCATGCGTAGTTATAGATACTAACCAAGGTGAAATAAAGTGTTGTGATAGCACGACAAGCCTACGTCGATTGGAGCAAATGATAGGAACATGGGAGATAGATGCGAATGCAGTTGAAGATGCTAAAGATAGCGATCATCGTCTTGGAGTATGTTATTCTCATTTCATCCTTGACCAGAACAAGCTTTATGACCAAGGCATGAAACAATCACATTCAATTGAGCAGAGCATCATCCATATTCATCTCTGCCTTTTCTGTAACAAGAAAAAATGCTTCTTTAGCCGTGGAGACTGTTGTGAGACGCATTCATGGAACATCAATGGATGCAACATTCAAGTGCCATGTGTCAGTGCTTTTGATTGTTTCACGTTTATTGAGGGATCCATTGCACAAAAATTATTCACAAGTTTTTATGCGCGTTACATCTGCTCAGAATGCTTCCAACAAGAGGATGGGCACTTTTACGAAAGATTGGGTAAAGGCCAAAAAACTGTATCATGTACTGAACGTGAGAAGCATTGCGATGATACAAGTGATGCTCTAAGGGATATCAGAAAATGGTTAATATCAGTAGCAGAGTCAAGCGATCT